TTTCCGGAAAACACGGGGCAAGGGCAGGCGTCTGATCGCGTTTCTGCTGGAAACCCGTGGCATCCGGTGCCCACCCATGTCCCCTTGCAAACCGGATTTTTTGTTTAAGTCCCCACAGGATGTGCACAAATGATCATGCACATGCGCAAACTTTGGTGAGACAAAAAAAAAAAAATCCCGTTTGCCACAGAAGCGGCATGGCACGATTGCCAGTGTGAACGCGCCGTGCTACTTCTTTGCCGCACTGCAGACTAGCCGTCTGATCGGCGCCTAACCACGGGACCTCGACAGGACGTCTGATCGGGCTGCCGTGCGTTACTCTGCTCCGGGGCAAACAGCCACACACACACACCCACCCCGCATTTTCCGGCCCGTGTGACCGGGGCCTAACATGGCTACCCATCTTGATCTAGGCTGGATGAATCAGACTGGCCCAAGGTCACCCCATGTACTTCATGGTAGTGTGGTAGAGTTGAACCTGGTCTCCTGTATCTTGAATCCAGTACTTAAGCATCTACATCGCACTGGTAAACCTCTAACATGGCTACCCATCTTGATCTAGGCTGGATGAATCAGACTGGCCCAAGGTCACCCCATGTACTTCATGGTAGTGTGGTAGAGTTGAACCTGGTCTCCTGTATCTTGAATCCAGTACTTAAGCATCTACATCGCACTGGTATACCAGGACCTTGTGTTGCTTTGTCAGACTCTTGAGCTGCTGGAAAGTTATCAGTCTGTAGTAACTTCGTGGTATAGTGGCCAGTTTGGTGTAGTGGTTAAGTGCGCAGACTCTAATCTGGGAGAACCAGGTTTGATTCCCCACTCCTCCACATGCAGCTGCTGGATGACCTTGGGCAAGCCATAGTTCTGACAAGAGCTGTCCTTGAAAGAGCAGTTCTTGAAAGAGCTCTCTCAGCCCCACCTACCTCACAGGGTGTCTGTTGTGGGGAGGGGGAGGGAAAGGAGTTTGTAAGTCGCTCTGAGACTCTGAGTGAAGGGCAGGGTATAAATCCAATCTCCTCTTCTTAAAATGTTGGGAAAGGAACCGGGAGACCTGGGTTGAATCCTCAGGGCCGGGCTACACCTTATGTTTGTTGGTGTGTTGGGTTTGGGTTCCCTGGAGCCAGCTCACTTTCTTCACAGCAGCTGCAGGAAAATACCATTTCAAAATTAATCAGGAACTTTCTGGAGCAGAAGTGGCCCCAGCAGGGAGCTGTTTGCATAAGTGTTGAGGTGCATCACTCAGCTGTACTCAACATGCAGCCCCAAAGTTCTGCAAATAGCTCCCTGCTGGGGCCCTTTCTGCTCCAAAAAGGGGAGCAGAAGGGAAGGCAGGAATCCCTCCCCTCTCTCACCATGCTGCAGTTCTTAGCAGCATCAGGTTCCTGCCAGCTTTTAAAATGACATTTCCTGTCACTGCTGTTTGACTGCAGGGGAAGTGAATGTCAACCCAGTTGGCCAGTAAAGTAGCGAGTAATTTGACCCTCCCTCTCCCATTGAAGCTTGCTGGGTGACCTCAGGCCAGTCCCTCATTTTCCCAGCATAACCTGCCTCAAAGGGTTGAAATTCTCAATTTTTTAAAGTGACTTTGGGTCCTTGTTGGGGAGCAAAACGAAACATAAATGTCTAAATAAATAATTTCCCCTCCTCTTCTTTTCCCAGGAACTTCTAACTGGAAAAGCACCATTATGTGGAATTTCTTGTAAAATAAACCTGTTTGAAAAATGAATGTACAGTGTCTGGTTTCAGTTTGGAAGAAACAAAGTTTAGGTGTCCATCGAATTTTATGAAGTTTAATTGCTAAATTAGTCATCTGTAGAACAGTGGTTTAAGGCCTTTTGTCAGATTAGAACTAACTGGCAGGACTGGTAAATAAGTTGATATTTGCATATGAAAATGTGTAAACCGCCCCGGTTGAGGATGGACAACCACATTGTTACGTATGGCTAAAATTGCTCCACAGTTACTTTTGACCACTAAATTATTACCTTAAATATTTAAACTTCCAGGGAGAGTCAAATATTGGCACACTTTGGCTGGCTGCACCTTCAGCTATCAAAAGTCACATTTGCACATGCCTTTGTCAATTGCATTTCACCTGCAGAGGTCCTAATTCCAATCCAATCTGCCTCATGCTGCTTCTTAATTTATTAGTTTTAAGAAGATTACTAAATGATAGGAAAAGTTAGACCCGATTTGAATGACTGCAAAAATCTCTCACGTGTGCATAAAATTCCACAGCTAAAAGAGTTATAGGTGTCTGCTATTATCTTCTAATAAAAGAGGTAATGTCTCTATGTGAAGAGATCCTAATTGGTTGTTTGTAAAGATGTGTTAGTAATTTGACTAAATTTCCCTGGGGATTATTAGTTGCTTGTGTTCTCCTTTGTTATAGGGAATAGTTTGCCTTCCTGCAGGCTTCCTCTGTATTTATTAGGGTGCAAGAAAGTTGTTAGAAAACTTATTTTAAATATATATTAGCTACCTTTCTAGCTTACAGGAGACTTACGATATAGATGAAATAGAACACACAGAATACATTAAAAACC